GCGCTCAAGTGACAGCGCCTTTGTCTCTTCTGAATGGGTGCGTTGCTAGGGCCGCTCGTAGCAACGGAGCCGCTTCCACCTCGGCCCCACCCTTCGGACCCCAGCCCTAGCCCCGGCCTCGCGACGCCGCTGGCTTCCGCCCCCCTCCACTAGGGGCCTGGGCAGAGGTGGGGGAGCTGCCCGATGTGTGTCCCTCAAGGTGCCACTATGCCCCTCCTAAGAGCCGTAGGTGTGCAGGCCTTAGACGGAGAAATCGAGGCTCCGAGAGGCCCTGAGGGGCGCTGGCCGGGGTGACCTGAGCAAGGCTTCCCACCCACGGCCTCCCCCACTCCCCACCCGCAGGTGTCTAGCTCGGCAGGACTTGGGGCCGCATCCCGGAGCCCAGCCTGGACGTGAGGTGCAGCTGGCCATCCCAAGAGAGGACAGCAGGCGGCACCAGCCCTCTGCACCTTCCCTGGGGGCGTGGCCCCTCCGGGAGCTGGGCTCCCCCATCCCCTCCTCTTGTCTGAGGCGCCTACCCCACCTCGCCCCGTGTCCTGCCCGGTGTCTGGTAATAAACCGCACTTGGAGTCTGTGCTGTCCCTGACTGGGATCCTCCTGGCCTGGGAGGGGATAGAGACGCCAGGTTCCCTGGTGTGTGGGAGGAGAAGCAGCCCCTTTTGCTTTGGGACCCAGCCTGGTCCCCGTGGTGGACCCCTGGGATTGGGGTCCCCAAGCCCTTTATCACCTTAGGGCTGGGAGTACGCAGGAAGGACCACCCTTCCCCTCCCATGCGGAAGAGAACAGTTCCAGCCTCAGACCTGGGGTGCGCCCCCACTCACACAGCACAAGGGCGGCAGGGAGGGGGGCAGAGGGGCGAGGCCCCAGCTGCTGAGATTCTTCCCCCAGTCTCTGGCGCCCTGGGCAGTGAGCAGAGAGGTCCAGGATGTCTCAGGGTTTAGAACCCAGCGTCACACCCACACTGGCTCAAGGCTGGGCCAGGAAACGAGGGGTCCAGGGACTCCAACTCTGGCAGAGCCCAGGGCTGAGGTGAGGCAGAGGGGGGCTGTGTGAGAACACACCAAGACCCTGGGCCCGGGCCAGGGAGGCTGAGCCACCACACAAGCCTAGGACTCTGGAGTCTCATTCCAGGCACCCAGGGGACACCTGCGGGATACCCTGGCCTACCAACCACATTAAAGCTTCGAAGGTGCCAGGCTGGGATCCAGGGCAGTGGAGCCCCTGCCAGGCAGAGGTGGCAGGAAGAAGGCAGGCCGAGCTGGTGGCCCCAGCTGGACAGGATGGCACACTGAGTGCCTCTGGAGAAGGAGCTCAGGCCAAGCACCGCTGCTAACGGGGACAGCGAGGCTGAATCTGGGCTGGGCACTGGGTGGCCCTTGAAAGCCTGCATTTTCCTGTGCTCTGACTTCTCCCCCTTCTCATTTAGAGGCCTCCTGGGCCGGGGATTTAGCTCAGCGGTTCGGTGGCCTGCCTTGCAAGCGCAAGGACTCGAGTTCATCTGGAGAAGGAGCTCAGGCCAAGCACCGCTGCTAACGGGGACAGCGAGGCTGAATCTGGGCTGGGCACTGGGTGGCCCTTGAAAGCCTGCATTTTCCTGTGCTCTGACTTCTCCCCCTTCTCATTTAGAGGCCTCCTGGGCCGGGGATTTAGCTCAGCGGTTCGGTGGCCTGCCTTGCAAGCGCAAGGACTCGAGTTCAATTCCCGCGAACTGTGAGGAGATCCCAAGGTGCCCCCTTTGTGCTGTACCCACCCACTGCCCTTTTCACTCTGCAGCCAAACACTACCTGCTGATCTCCTTCTGTCCCTTTGCCCTCACACTGCTCTTTCTGCCTGGACCACCCCAACCTCTCTCCAGGTGGTGAACTCCTAGGAATCCTTGAAAACCCAATTTCAATGGTGTTTCAGCTATAAAACCTTCCTGTCCTTTCTCCTGACCCCCCAGGAATAGAACTGATCACTTCCTCGTTTTATCTGGCGCAGTTCCATCACACTGGATTATAATCCGATCGAGAATCTCCTCACAAGATTGGGTAGTACCCTGTTTCTGCAGGTGGCAAGGAGAGGGTCACCTTTTTCCTTCCATAGTCGTCACTGCTGCCTCGCCCGAGGGGAGATGACTTTGCATTTGCGAGGAAGTCCTGTGAGGACCAGGAGCGGCCCTGCATTTGGTAAAGGTGATCAGGACAATGGAGCTGTGCATGCTGGGTAGCTGTATCCCTCAGCTGTGTGGCCTGGGACGGGCCACTCCCTCCTCCGTGCCTCAGTTTCCTCATCTGTCATCTGGGGCTGCCACCTGCAGAAGTGGTTTTGAAGCACAGGTGGCACAGCAGGACAAAGGCTAGGCACCAACCTGTGTGCCTGGGACAAAGCAAGCATCCTCAATGTCACCCCACTTGCTGCTGCCACCTAGCACACCCGGGGGGAGGCGAGGAGTCAGCCAGGTTGGTGACAGGGCTGAGAGGAGGGCCCAACTTGGGCTCTGTCCCCCCTTGGCAGACACCTTCCCCTTCTGGATGGGAATCCATGGCTCCAGGGACACGAGGGTCAGTGAGGCAAGGGAGGGAACGCGTGGGGGACCTGGTGCTGCCAGGCTGGAACTAAGGCTGGGACCCCAGGGGCCCAACCCTCAAGGTGCCTGGTGTCCCCTCACCTCGGCACCTATAACCCATCCTGCCTCCCCAGAGTTTGGAACCAAAGGTTGTCTGCGTGTCGACCCCACCCCAGCCCCCAAATCCACCTGGAGTCTTCTGCCTTGGCCCCAGAGAGCACACGGGCAAAGGGAACAGGAAACTAATTGCAAAATTTATTTGAGGGTTTCGGGGACTGGGGAGATTCGTAAGGGCACTTCTTGTTTGAGGGATGTGGGTCTCTGGCCTTGGCAGGGACATGCGGTTTGGGGGGCTGAGGTGGGGGCTCAGATAGGGAGGCAGAAAGCAGGGGCAGGGGCGCCCAGCCTCGCCCAACCTGGCAGGCTCAGCACAAGCTGCAACAGCAATGCAGAAGCAGGGTGGGAAGCGGAGGAGGCCAGGGTGCTAAGGCCTACTTCCAGGCCTGCAGCCAGGGACCTGTGTGCCCTCCTGGGTTCAGCCGTTCTCCACCCATAAAACTGAGCCCCCTGGGCCCCAGCGATTCACTAGTGGCACGGAGGACATGCACAGGTCTCTTGACTGTGGCAGGGCACTCAGAAAAATGACCCAGCCCCCCCAGCCCAGGGTACTGGGGACCAGAGCAGAGTCAGGGAAGAAGCCTGGGCCTGTACTTGATGCTAGCCCCCAAGTCCCACTCAGTCCTCAAATCTGTCCCTGCCTTCCAGCACACACGCCTTTCAGGAGGGTCTAGGAGACTGGGAAAGAAAGACAGGTGAACCCCTCTCAGCTACACCCTTGCAGATTAGCCCCAGCCCAGCTGGCCAGGTGGGCAAGTGGGATGTGGACTGTACGGAACTTCTTCCTGGGCAGGGCAGAGGGAGGGGTGAGAAGGTTGTCAATAGCAAAACCCTGGATCAGAGCCCCCCCTGCGGAAGTGAGTTGGGCTGAGGGCCGGGAGAAGGTGTTCTGGCCCTCAAGTGTCCAACAGCCCCTGCCCAATTTAGCAAACCCACTTATCTCTAGTGTACAAAACAGAGGGCTTCCCTCCCCTCCGCGCGGGTCTGCAGATCCCCTCTCCTTCCCCCGCTGACACCCACTCAACCTCCCCTGCTTCTGATCCCAGGACAGGGCAGAGGGAGGACATCTGGCCCAAGGGACATCGAGGCCCCCCAGGGAATCCCGGACTTCCTCCCCCAACCTGCCCTGTGCTTCAGACTCCAGGGCAGAAGCTGGGAGCAGGGGAAGGAGATGGTTGGCAGCCGCCTCCTTGGGGCACTCTGGGTGGCAGGTAAGTGCCGGTGGCAGGTGAGGGCCACCCCCTAAGCCAGGCCCTGCCTGTCCCACACACAGCTCCTAGCTCAGGCTGGGGCCTCCCCTCTGGCCACTCAGGTCTGCTTGGCCTGCAGCATCTCAATGAGCAGGTTGTTGCGTGGCATCTCATTGCCCAGGTGCTTGTGGTACAGGTACTCCTTGGCCTGCATGCTCAGGGCCCGCACCTCCACCAGGCACAGCAGCAGCTGCTGGAACTTGTCCCCGCAGTGCGGGTAGTGGCACAGCGTGTAGTCCAGCAGGGCCGCGTTGGCCTTCTCTTGGGCGTCCTTCACCAGGCTGTGGTTGTTCAGGAACTTCACATCTGCGGAGGGAGGTGCTCTGTCACCCGCTGGTCCCTGTCCCCACCCCCGTCAGGTTGGGCCCACACTGAAACTGGCACCGCCGGCACCCCCTTCCCTGAAGCCACCAAAGCCCAGGGCGTCCCCACCACAGGTCCCTCGTCGCTGTATCGCCACCACCGAGTTGTCGCCATGGCGGAGACACTGCCACCCTCACTGTCATCCACTCTTGTGTTTTCCACCAATAGCCGCTGTCAACAGCCAAACCACTGCTGCTGTCACCAGTGTCACTTGTGCTGTCATGGCCATGATGGTGGCGATGGATGCTGATCATCCCTGGGCACCGGTGTCAGCCTCGCCGGGTGCACCTCGGGGCGTGTGGCTTCAGCCACTCAGTTGGTTTTTCATCGGGAGTGGGGTGACAATAGTCCCTGCGAGGCTGTCCTGCAGGTGCCAAGCATCAGCTCCAGGGGACACTCAGGAGGACAGGCTATGACACGTAGGTCACAAGGCGTTAGTGCACTGTTTCTCTCTCACCACAGCCCTGGTCATGGCTGGCACCACTGTCGCTGCCAAAGCCACCCTGTCACCATCATCACCATAGGAGAGAGCAGTACCCCAGGGGCGGTGATAATGGCACTCTGGGTTCCTCCAGGACCGGCAAGAACTCCGCGGCCCGAGGAGCTCCCTCTCAGGCAGTAGGGGACACAGTCAGTGTTCGCCCCAGCCTGGCCGTGAAATCGCGCAGAACACTTGAGGTCGGGTCTGCAAACTGGGCTAGAGCGGGGCGGGCTGGAGGGAACGGACGCGCATGCGCGAGTCTACAGCGCAGCCCCTTACAGGGATTGGGTTCAGAGGATGCGCTAGGAAGCAGGACGCTGGCCAGGTACACCGGAGGCCTTGGGTTCCGTGCCCAGGACCGTGAAAAATAAAATTTAAATATAAAAAGCTGGTACCGGAGGCAGATCATTATGGAAGATCCTGGCAGACCTGAAAGAACGGTTCCCAGTGGGAGGGACGAGGGTGAGGGCTGTGTGCGGCCCAGCGACTACTCCTGCGGAGGACTGAGGGGCACAAGGACTCATCCCTGTCTGCTCAAGACCCAAAGAGGGAGCCGGGTGTGGTGGCACAGACCTATAATCCCAAGCACCTGGGAGGCTGAGGCAGGAGGACCACCCAGCGTTGGAGGCCCACCTGCGCTGCCTAGTGAGTTCCAGGTCAGCCTGAACTACACAGCAAGACCCTGCCTCAAAAAACAAACAAAAGACCCAAGTATCTTTGGAGTGAACCCACCATGCCCATGGGGGTCCAAATTCCAACCACCGATGAGGAGCAGGGACCCTGCTCGCCCTGCCCTGACTCCAAAGGCTTCCTCCTCCGGGAGGAGGGGTGGAGGCGGGCAGCAGAGGAGACTCCGGTCACCCAAGTCCTTGTCCCCCCTTGCAGGCCGCCAACACTAGGCCACTGTTCCTGCTGATGCCCTGCCTGGCAGGACCCCATTCTGTCCCTGTGCCCAGCCCAGCCTGGCCATCTTCTAGGGTCTCAGAAGTGGTCACCTATCCCCCTCCCTCCACCTTCGGCCTGGGGCTGATGCTGTGGGGGGAGCCCCTGCCCCGTAATCCCTCCTAACACCCACTGCGCCAGGAAAGCTTGGCACCCTGGCAACCCTGATCCCTGGCCGCCCCCAGGGCGCCTGCTGAGGCCTGTGTTGTCCAAAGTTGGATTTAGGGAAACCTGAGCTGGGCCCAGGTCATATGGCGGATCTGGCTGTGGGTGCTGCCCTCCACCTTCTCCCCAGGCCTGCTCACCCTCCCTTGAAGAAAGGAGCCAGGGTCATTTTCCTCTCCACCTCTCCAGGGTCATCATGAGCCCATAAGACACCTTCGTATCAATTAGAAAGAATTTCCCCCTCCTCTGCAGAGATACAGCTAGATTTCAGCTCCCAGTCCTCCTTCCTCTGACTTGATGCCCTTGTGCAGTGAACAAATCACTCGACTGTGTGTGGCAGACCTACCTGCTTGGTTGGCCAGCTCCAGACCCATTCAAAGGGAAGTCTTGGGAAGTTACCTCACCTGGCTGGGCTCCTAGAAGCAGGAGGTGCCTATGGGTCCCATCCCACTCCCAACTTCTCCACATCCCAGTCCTGTCCCTTCCGTCCTCACTTCCCACAATCCCTGGGGCTAGGCAAGGGCCCTAACACTGTGCTCCTGACAATTCACCACGGAAGACCAGAGAAGGACAGGGATCAGCTCAAGGCCACACAGCAGCAAAGGCATCAAGAAGAAGAGTGGGGGCTGGAGAACTGGCTAGAAGCTGCAGTAGAGCAGGAGTGGGTGGGGCTGGGAGGACCAGGGCCTTGGCTTTACCAGGATTTACTGTTCTCAGCAGCAGTGCGCCAGGGACAGCAGGTGGGGCGCAGGGGGGTGCAGGACAAGGACAGTTTCAGGGACAGATTCCCCCCTCCATGCATCCCTCTGTTGCCGGCTCCCCAAAGACGGAGACCCCCCCAGGACCCCCACGAAGTCAGCTACAGGTTGGGGATGTAGGCACAGTCCTGGTGGCTTCCATCCCAGAGTCCGGATCCAATTTCCTCAGCACCCTCAGGACACCTTGAACCTGTCAGTTAATCCCCACAGATAGGGATAGCAGAGAGGCACCTTGGAGGGTGAGGACAGGCCTGAGCCACCCAGTGGAGTCCAGCCTGGATTCGAACTCACATCTCCCTGGTTCCAAAGCCTGAGCCCATCACAGTGGGCAAACAGCACTGGGAGCTCCTGTCAGCTCAGCCACCTCTGAGGGGTGGGACCTGCTTCACATTCCGTTCGACCCACGCCTGGGGTCCTGGTCCCCCCAGAGAGGCTGCTCTGGGCTTCAGACTCTATGGCCCCTCACCTTGAGACCCTCACGAGTCAGGGTGAGTTGTGCAGATTCTAAGGAACAGGGGCATCCCAGACATCAGGTGCCCTTCCCTCCTTAGGCACAGAGCAGGGCTCACAAAAGTCTGGAGACACCTTTCGAAGCACCAGGGTTCGGGTCCCAGCCTCCCCTCCCACCAGCTGGGTGGCCCTATGCAAGCCACTTCCTCTCTCCGCTGCCTCAGTCTCCCGTCATCTGCAAAATGGGGACAAATGAATCTGTGCCCCATAAGGCAGCTGAGAACCGGCCCCGCCCTGTGTGCCCAGCTCTGGGCTCGGGCGCTGCGGGGAGGGAGCGCACGGTGGAGCCGCTGCTGCGTCCGCAGCCTGAGCCGCCCGCCAGCACTGCGGAGCTAGGAGGCCCCCAGGATCTCAGAAAAGCCCCCTTTTCACGGTTTAATTGAATATTTGAATAATCCTTTCATTCCAGCGAGGCATAAAGAATGTTGTCCCAATAGCGGTGACTCAGGCAGGCGCCCCCGCGTACAATGGCCCCTCGAGTGCCGCTGCTATTGAGGCCGCCTTTTGTTGGCGGGGAGCAGTGGGTAAATTGCAAACGCTTAAGGGAATGCTGCCGCGGCGCCTCAATGGAAATCAGGAAATCGAATGTTAGGTCAATCCATTAAGCTTCGATTAAGTCCTCCGGGGAACAATGCCCGCCGGGCCCATCTTCATAAATACCGCGATTGCCAGGAGAGAGGCACTAATTTTAATTAAACCTCCTTACCTGCCTCCAAGCCCGCTGAGACGGCTATTTAGACGCCAAATGGCACCCTTTTGCAGAGGCGGGAGAGGAGGAGGAGGGGTGCGCGCCAGGGCGGCGGGGTGGGTGGGCGACAGCAGGCTGCACGCAGGTCCGGGCTGCCCACGCCTGGGAGGTGCCGGCCGCCTGAGGAGGCACCTGGCCCGCCAGCTCGAGACCCCAGGCCACTTGGTGGCCGTCCTCTCTGGATCCGGGGTTCCCTCGAGGCGGGCTCTGGTGGCCCTGGTGGGATCAGGGGAGGAGCCCTCTGCTCCAGACTCCAGGGTCCTTGTCCCCCAGCCCCAGGTCTGGCTTCTGGCAGGGCCCCTGTCACCCTCCTGCTGTCCTTTGCCCAAGCCACAGCCACAGTCCGGAAGGGCTTTGATGAAATGCAAATCAGATCCTGTTGCTCCAGCCTCCATCCATCCCCAAGGCAGGTTCAAGGAACTTGGCCTGGTGTTCAAGGCCTGACACAGCTCAGCCCCATCCACCGCGGCCCCCACCAGTCGCCCTGAGCTCTCAGGATTCCCCAGAGCCTTGCACAAACTGTGCCTCCAGTCTGGTTCAAGCAGGCTTTAATGCTGTGCTGGCTTTGTTTTGCCCAGAACACTTCTACTCCTACTGCAACACCCAGCCCAGACGCACGTCATCCAAGAAGCCCTCCTCTCTCAGTGCACAAGTGGCTCCAGGGCCCCTGACAGCCCAGCTCACCGGATCTCTGGACTGCCCACCCGAGCCGGACACACGGCACGGGACAAAGATGGAGCCCACGAGGGAGCTGCTGCCTTACTACCGTGTCCATTTGTCTGTCGGCTCGATAAGGATGACTATGCTACCACACCGGGGCACACGGCGGCGGAGGGGCGGAGGGAACTCTCTCATCCCCCCTTTGCAGTGAGTAATGGCCAGTGAGGAGGTTATTTTGCAGATGGGGAAATAGAGGCAGGGCAGGGAAGGTTTGCGCAAGGGCATCGAGGCAGAAAGAGAAGAGTTAAGACTCCTGGAGGTCACCCCGGTGCTTGCCCTCACCCCGAGCACACACACGTGTCAGGGGAGCCACTGAGGGCCTGGGATTCCCGAGGGGCCGCCAGCTCTGGGCTGGGCCTGTCACTCCCAAGTGCCAGGGGGTTGGCAGAAGAGGGGCTGGGCTCTTCAGGGGGTGCCCAAGCCTAGATGGGGCCCTCTCCCACCACCCGTCCTCAGACCTCTCCAGGGACCCTTGTCAGAACTACTGTCCAAGCCATGCCTGGAGGCCCAGCACTGTGTGAGGCTTAGGCAAGAGGATGGCAAGTTGAGATTGGACTCAATCTCAAAACTAAAAAAAAAAAAATTTAAAGAGCCAGGATATATCTCAGTGCAAAGGCTCTGGGTTCTATCCCCGGTACCAGAAAAAAACAAAAAACATTAATTTATCTCCTTGGGTCTGAGAACCCACACTCGAATCCCATGCACCTCCAGGCACCACTCCACACCTCTAAATCCCACATACTCCCCATGTCCCGTCACTACCCACTGGTGCACTCATTCTTCACATGATGCAACCCACAAAAACCCAGTGTGCATGCACAGCACGCGTACACGTGGGGAGACGCACATGCAACCCTGCAGGCCCCATGCCCCCGCCCGTGGGGACTCCAGCCACGGTCTGCAGCTCTGGCCTGTGCAGGGCTCAGAGCCCACAGCTTTGGGGACACATGGACGGGTAAGGGCAGCCTTCCAGCCCCCAGCCTGGTGGGGCCCCTGCAAAGCTAAGCGGCCAGCCGAGCTCTGGCTCTCCCCACAGTGGCCCTGCAGGTGTCAAGGCAGCCCATCCAGTCAGTCAGGAGACCGACCCAACCACTGTCCCCAGCCACGGGGCCATGGTGGGCACCCCCAGTTCCCCCATTGGTCTCCCACATTCTGCTCATCCAGTCCTTTCTCTGCTTCCCAGTGCCTCCCTCTCCCCCACTCTGAGTACCCCCTTGACAGACTGTGGCCACAGTGGCAACTGCCATAAAGACAACACCTCCATCCTGCCCCTCCCAGGTGAGAAGCACTCCTCTCCTCTGCTCCAAACTTCATCCCATCTCCATCCTCTGCTCTGCTACAAGATTTCATCCACCCAGAAAATTTCTACTTATCTTGCAAGACCCCGCTCAAAAAGCTCTCTTCCAGGAAGCCTGGCAAGCAAAGCCCTTGCTCCCCATGCCAGTTCCCCGAGCCACACCCATGTCTTTAAACCAGCCCTAGGCACAGGGATGCTGGTCTCCCCCAGACTGGAAGCAAGGAACGCCCAGGGTGTGCAGTGTCTGTGGGAGTAGGGCCTGCACTGGCAATGGTTTGCTGGGTGCCGAGAACCCAGAGGGAGCCGGGAGACTCGTGGGTACAGGCTGGGTAGGAGCAGGAGGGCGTGGGGAGGATCCAGCAGGTGGGCCGGACTCGCCTTCCCCCGGGGTCCTCCTTCCCCCTCACACGCTCTTCCTAACCACATCTTTCACTAATCCCTGAAGGTCCCTTGTGCACACGACGCTGTCATCTCCCTCCCTAGAGTCAGCTCTAAGACACAGGGAGCTGTGGTCATTTTGTTCAGTGTCTTCCCCAGGGCCTTGCCTAGTGCGGATCCTCACAAATGTTTGCAGGATGAGTGAATGATTGAATGGGCAAAGAGGTCTGGGCTCCAAAGAGCTCAGAACCATCTCAGGACCCTGTGGACCAGGGGATGAGGAAAAGCAGGGCCTGCAGAGGGGAGCCAGGGAAAAGAAAGCCAAGTTCTGCAGGTGTCAGGCACGATCTGGGGTGGATTCTCAGGAGAGCTCCTTGTCCCACACAGGACAAGTCTCATGGTGCCCAGGCCCTGGGGCAGCAGCCCTCACACCCTGTCACTGCAGGAGGGGCCCTATCCACCCCTGACGCGAGCCCACTCACCAAGGCTGAGGAGGATGAGAAACTTGAGGCAGACGAACTCCTGGCGGTCCAGCTGCAGTGCGTGCAACTGCAGGACCAGCTCCTGCGCCCGCAGCACCAGGCTGTGCAGCAGCGAGCCAGCCTGGGCAGCCACCGTGCTCAACTCCACCTGGGCGGCAAGAGGGCACAGGTCAGGGGACCTGGGTGCCAGGAGAGGTGCTCGAGCCAAAGGTACGGGCAGGAAGCTCTGACCAGGGCCCCCACATCCTTGTGCCCAGAGCCCTGCAGCCCATCCAGGCTGCCCCTGCTAAAGGCCCTTCCTGGCTCTAGCCACGGATGGCAGCAGGCAACGCCAGACAGGTGGGCACCTCAGGAGAGCTGACCACCACCAGGCCCAGAAGGACAGAAGGCAGTGAGGGCTACATCCGGCTGGGGAACGGGGAGTGCCCCACACACTGGATCACAACACCTGGTCACAGCCCATATTCACACACACACACACACACACACACGTCCAAAGGGCTGTCACTGCTCCATGATGCAAAGGCACACACATCTATGCATACCAACCCCGCCTGCCCTCAGATGGTCACTGGGCAACATGGATGCACACCTATGTGTGTATGTGTGACACCCACACGCCTGGATGTGTAGAGAGATCTGCACAATAAAATGTAGGTGTGTGCATGCACAGAACATCTGTGTGGCTACGGGGCTTTGACCCATGCATGGACACCCATCTGACGCTCTGCACTAGCACTCAAAAGTGCCCAGAGTCACTCTCTTAGGACCAGTGTCCCTGGCCCGTGGCCCTTATGGCCTGAGCCACCAGAGATGGGGGACAGGGAAGAGAGACCCTGATGTCTACCACCTCCTCTCCCTCCCTCCTTGTCCTGCACACCCACTTCCCGGTTGGGGCCCTTCCCGACAGGCATTCCTCCCAGCCCTCTACTCTGAGCCAGGGCTTCCCCCACCTCTCCTCCTGCTACCTCCTCCTACCTCATCCTGTGGCTCCTGCTCTCTTCCTCCATATCTCTGCCCTAAGGGACCCAGATTCCCGCTCTGCGCTCTGCGGTGCCTCCTGCGTGTTCGTTCCTTCCTTCACTCATTCATGCACTCGAGAGCTAGGAGCTGCAAGGTCTTGCCTGCTGACCCCAGCCAGCCCTGCAGCCTCACCTTTTACCTTACCTGGCTCCTGGATCCCAGCAGCAATTCTGAACCCCTTCTCAGAGCCTTGGGCCACCCGTCACCTCTGATTACCCTACCAACTCCAATTTTAGTTTGGATCCATTCTTAGGAGACCGAGGGCTATCCGATAGCCACTCTGGTCATCCCACACCTGGATGCCCTCCAGGCCAGGGCTGGCCTCACAGAGCTTTGGCCTGTGGATGCTTCCTGAGCTTGGGGAATTCAGGACACCCAAAGTGGCCCTGGAGAAGCTCGGGACTGCATCAGGGCTGGGAATTCTGGAAGCAGAGTCAGTCACCTCCTGCCCGGTGACCAGCAGGATGCTGCCCTCCTTGCCGTACTGGACCTGGCGGTAGATGTGGTCAAACACCAGCAGCTCACTCCAGCAGTTCTGTAGCAGGGTCATCTGGTCGGCCACCTGTGGGGAGGAGCCACGTGGGGTCAGCTGGGGACCAACGGTCTTCTTCTTACTCTAGCGCTCAATTCAGAGATGGCTGAGTATGCGACCCAGGCGAGTGACCACTCCTCTGTGCTCTGTCGGCCCCAAGAAACAAGGTCAGGGCACTAGAGGTGCTCAGGGCTCGACATGCCTGGCCTCAGCCCAACCCAGCCCACCCCAAGGAGTGTGGCCTCAAGCAAGTCCCCATCCTGTCTGCACCTTGGCACTCCAGAAAGCGGGCCAAGTGCTCACTCTGCAGCACTCAGGAAGTGTGAGAGACTCATGTCCCAGGAAGTCCTCTGGAAAGGTGATTACTCGTGTTAACGTGGTGCCCATTTGGCCTGGGGTCACAACCACTCCAAAAGGAGCCATGGGTGTGGGGGGGTCCCCTGCAGAGATTTTAGGCCTAGAAAAGGGGGGAAGGCATGTCTGGCCCGTGGGCATAACAGGGGTGGGTGGTGGAGGGCAGCGGCCGGAAAACTAAAGCAGGAATAGGATGGTGACAAGGGACACATTCTGAAGACCCAGGCTAAAGAGTGCACTCAGGGGTGGGGCAGCGGGGCGGGGACCGCCGTGTGGGTCACTGCATTCTACTATAGCCAGGGTGGACTTTTTTTTTTTTTTTTTTTTTTTTTGAGACAAGATCTCACTATGTAGTGCAGGCTGGCCTCCAACTCAGGGCAGTCATCCTGCCTCAGCCTCCTCCATGCTGAAATTACAAATGTGTGTCACCATGCCCAACAGGGATGGACATGCATGACAATGGCAGATTCCACCCAGAACTACAGAGAGCCAGGCACTCCTGACCTAAGCCCTTCCTCTCAGACGAAGAATGTACCACCCAAAGACTGCCAGCAACTCTGAGGCAGAGCCAGGCCAGGGTCACAGCTGGCGTTGCAGGTCCACAACCTCCAGGGACAAACTAAGCCTCTCTGGGTGTTCAGAAGAACCCTTCTAGAGAGGCACAGGGCGGATGTGGCTCCTCTTAGCACCCACAGTCACAGCCAGCCCCGTGGTGAAGGCAAATGTGCTGACAACAGTTGTTTTACTGCAGCCCCACAACCCTACAGGGTTGGTTCAGTTACTGTTCTCTTTATAGAGAGAAGAAATGGAGCACAGAGAGGTCAAGGAAAGTCTCCAAGGTCACACAGCTTTGTCTGGCTCCAGATCTCTGCTCTTTACCACTAGGAGTGGAAAAAGGGACCTGACCCCTCCCCTCCAGTCAGGTAGGAATCAGCCCATCACCTCCTCTAGGAAGCCCTCCAGGAGGCTGCTGAGCAACACGGCTTAGCAAGGCAGCCACTCCCTCTCCAAGCCTAAGGCCCAGCAGTGGGGCAGCCCCAGGCCCCATGGAACCTGGCCCGGGTCTAAAAACTGTTCTCTTCTAGTGGACAGATTTCCCTCCAGCCTCTGTGTCCTCCCCCAAGGGGATCCTTGGGGCCCGTGTCTGGGAGAAGCAAGAAAGTGCGGGAGAGAAAAGTGAGCAGCTGAGCCTGCTTCAGCCCTACACAGACTGCCTGGCCACGAGCAGAGGGAAGGTGGGCGTCTGTCCCATCCGCCACTGCCATCTCTCCCTCACTAAAGCCCCACAGAAATGCAGAAACCCAGCCAGGGGCCAGGCTGGGCCTCAACTGGCCTCACCTCCCCTACCCCACGCCACTGAGGCAGGAGCCTTCCCATGAGGGAGGCCGGGCACAGGGAGCACCCACCCTAGCAGCACTGTGCAGCCAGATGTCCCATCTTGGGGGACCCTGGGTCCCAGGTGGCAGGCACCTGCCCTAGAGCTCAGTGTTGGCAAACTCGGGCCCACCTTGTGCGACCCAGATGGAGGCCATGCAGGGCTGGGCTGTGCCCCTCACCCACGGTGAGCTGGGAGCAGACACCCTTGCACCCAGATTGGAGGAAGGGGTGGGAGAGAAGAGATAAGAGGGAATTTGGAGATAAGCAGGCTGCGTTTAGGCAGAAGCAGAGGGGTCACAGTGACCCAGCTGGCCCGGCCCTGGGAGCAGACGCTGTCTCAGACCTCAGGGGCTGATGGGCCAGCCAGGGCAGAAAACTGCAGGGCAATGCCCGAGCTTGGACACCATGCCCCGTGTAAGCCTTCAACTGGCCCCACATCCTCCTTGGCCCTCATTTCCTGTTCTGCAAAGTAGGAGAGCTTATTCCTCCCTCTCTGGGTGACAAAAAACACATAGACACATGTTGCTGGTCACCAAGGGCTCTGTGGTCCTATGGTCAGCTCTCCTGGGGTCACTGCCCCGGCCATTAGCCAAGCAAACTTTCCTGCCAGAGTTAAACTGCTTCTGGGATGGACAGGTGGGCACATAGATTCCGAAAATGACAACCACTGTGTGTACATGCATGTACGTGTACACACACACACACACACACACACACACACAGATTTTTTACTTAAAAGAAACCCAGAGGGCTGTAACTGCTGGCCATCTCCACAGGAAAGCAGGTGACCAAGAGCCCTGCTGAACTCCAGAGGGCTAGTCTCTTCCTCCTAAGCGTTTCTCCCTACTTCCTCTTCCCTCCCCTCAGGGTCCCTACCACCCTGAGAGCAAGGACTTTCTCAGTCAGGGGCCCTGGAGTCCCTGGCCAGCCTGGTCCACCCCTCCTGCAGGATGGCCACAAATCTCCCCAGAGCCTTGACTCTGTAGCCTGCGTCGGGTGCGGGTATTTATGGGTGCCGTGCTGACCTCTCCTCCAGCCCCGTCCGGAGCCCCTGGGGTCTCATCCATCTGGCACCTGAAGGCCAGGGGCTCGGTAATTCTCCAGTGGCTGACACGCCACAGGCCGGCCATGGCAGTCCCTGGGTGAGCCTTGCAGGGCTGTCGTTTGTCAGCCAGAACTGACACTTATTGTGGCTTAAAGGAGACCACAGAGCTGGGGGTTTCGATCTGTTACCAGTGGGCGCCTCAGACGGGACACAGAGGATGAGCAATGTCAAGACGGGTCATTGGGCACCTCCCTGTACTAGTGATCCTGTCCTGCCCTTTCCAAAACTGTCCAGAGAGCTGACTGCCCCAGCCCCTGCCCTGCAGAGCAGCAGGGAAAGGTGGGTTTCTGCACATTGCTTTGGGATCCCAGGGGGACTGGGCCCGGGTTTATAGGATGCACAGGGAAGCATGGACACTGGGCAGCTCTGCCTGCTGTCTTTCCAGCCAGGCCTGGACAAGCCTTCAGATGTACAATGAAGAACATGGTGCTTAGGGGACAGGAAGGACAGGAACCACAGACCACTGATGGGCCTTCCCAGGTGCCCTGGACTGTTCCTCGCCCGTCCTAGCTCACTGAACCCTCACAACAATCCCAGGAGTGAACAGTATTTAAACTCTTCCCATCATAAAATGAGGAACACGAGGTCCAGAGGAGCAAAGTCACTTGCCCAATGTCACATGCTTCTAAGTAGCAGACATAGAACCTGACACCAGGTCTCTCTGATTCTGGTCTTTAGGGTTCACTTCTCTGCTGCCGTCACAGAACACACTCAGATTGTGAGAGATAGGGACATGGAGACAGAGGGACAGCCAACTGAGCTGGGGAAGAGGACAGAGGAGGGAAAGGCCTCTGGAAACTGGAGCTGGGGTCAGACACATTCCTGACTGCCCAGCTGAGACCCCAGCGTTCCCTCCTGAGTAGTAAGATATCATGGGTGCCACAGAGGGCCGGGTGGGCCTCTGCAGAAAGCTCAGGGTCCTGTCCTGGCATAAGGGGCCCGGCTGGCCCTGGCAGCCTGCCATCACCCTTGCCCAGGACCCATTCACGCTCCATCTCTGCTCCACCCCATAGACCTTTCCAGTCTGCCTCACAGGGCAACCATTTCTGGGCCCCCACTCATCCTCTTCCCACTGCCCAGAATGCCCTTAATCTTCTCTCAGGGCCATTGGCTCCCTCTGTCTCCCTGCACTATTCTCAGAGCCTGGCTACCCTACACTGGCCTCACCTATGCATGTCTGTCTTCTGCTCTAGCTTGGCAGCTCCCTGGGTCCCCAGTGTCCCCAGCACCCATCCACGGCTGCCCTGTGCAAGCCAGAGAGCTCTCTTCTGTCTTCTGAGACCCACCTGGAGGAGGGGAATTGGATGCTGGACCCAAGAGAACAGTGGGGAATACCCAGCATCCTCCCACCTGTCTGGACCCTCATGGGCTCTACAACCATATACGAGCCCAAGGCTCATTGGGCCAGTGGGGAAGAATGTCCACATGGCCTTGTGAGGCACTGCAGGGCCTGGGCTGGTGTTTATCTGCAAGGCTCCTTTACTGAGATAGACACCATGGGTCATAGGCCTGGGCTACATGCAGGAGAGGTTCTGGGAAGGGGAAGCAGGAAGGTTTGGGCCACAGAGAAGCCAGAAGCAGGAAAAAACACTCAGCAAAGCTGGGACAAAAGCCCTTCCCATCCTGCGTGAAACCCCGAGATACCAGGAAGGCAGCCAGAGGAAGTGCCCTGCCTCTGCATCCAGGGTCGGGAGGCTGGGAATGGCCTGTTGCTCCTTCCCTTTGCATGGGGCTTCCATGGGAAGTCAGCAGGGGAAGCTGGCAACCAACCCACCAGCCTTGGGGTCCTCAGCCCGAGTAGGATAGAAGGCAGGGAAGCATCCAACACCTGCCTTCTGCTCCATCAGTAAGGTGGGCCAGAAAGGTGAGTGGGAGGGGCCTGGGGTGCAGACACAGGCATCCCCAGGCCTCAGCCACAACATGCCCTCCACTCAAGAGCTGAAGCCACTGCCAATAGTTTTTGGCTCCCAGAATCCCGCAGTACCCTTCAGGCCCCTGTGGTGCTCTAGGGCTCAGGGTGTCCATGTCCCACCTGTTCCCCCTCCCTGCCACCCAGGGCAGGCAGTGCCCCTGTCCCATCTGGCAGTGCGCCCAGAGGAAGCCCAGGTCTGGCTGGCATCAGTACCTACAATGCCACTCAAGGCTGCCATGGCCCCGGCAGGGAAGGCAACAGACCCTGCTGTTTACAGAATCCCCAGAACAGCCAGGGTGGCTGACCTGGGAAAGGCAATGCTGATAGGCCTGGGCTCACAAGTGCTGCCCCAGCCTTGGTCAGGACTTTAGGGCCTCTGGGAAGGCCTCATAGGGAGCCAGGGCACTGGAGAGGCAACTCTCACGTCTCTGGACCAATGTCCACCAGGCGAGATGGATGGAAAGTTCTTCCCTATGTCTGGCCTCAGTTTCTCCTCCTGCTGTCCTGCTTATTGTACCCTCAGGTGCCTTAACTCCAGAGAAGAAAGGCTCTGAGGCAGAGGAGGCTGCTTCCTCTGGCCACCCAGCTCCCACTGCACACATACAAGCACACAGACACCTGCAGGCACACGTGCACACACAGAAGCAACTACCACACACCAGAGATGGCACAGACCAGTGAGACCTTTCGCCCTAGCTGGGGAAGAGCAGGGCCACACACATCCACATTCAGACCCCAAGAGGCCGGTCTTGACACCGGAGGCTGGCAGGGATTGGCAGCCTCCCTGAATGGGAGGACAGGACGGGCTGGATTCTCTCCCGACACTGGGCTGGGGTCTTAAGGGATAAGACAAGATCCAGGCAGTCCTTTCAAGGAGCCTAAGTTTCAGAAAAAGAGATGCCTACAGAAACTCAGACTGGGAGGGAAACAGACTATAGAACCCAGAAGCAAGCCAGGCATGGTGGCACACGCCTGTCACCCCGGCTCTCTGGTAGGATGAGGTAGGAGGATCACAAACTTGAGTTCATCCTGGGCAACTTAGTGAGATCTTCTCTCAAAATAAAAGGGTCTGGGGATACAGCTCAGTGCAATTCCCAATACCAAAACAAAACACAACCAGAGGCAGAGACAAGCAAAGGGGTGAGGAGGAGACAACAAAGAGAGACAGAGGCAGAGACCGAAGAAGCAGGGGGCAGTGAAGCCACAGAGACTTCAGAAACAGAACGAGAGGGCAGAACAGGAGTGGGTGGGGCTCAGCAAGGCAACTGGGAAGCTTCAAGGACCAGAAAAGGCTCCTTAGCCTCGGGTGGGGCCTCCCTGTCCCTGCCTGCCTGAGGCTGGCCGGCAGGACAGCGAATCCAAGAGGTGGCGGAGGAGGACTGCAGGCAGCCCAGAGGGCAGGCGTTGCTGCTGCCCGGAGAGCGTGAGGGAGGAGGACTCACCTCCAGCTCCTTGAACACCATGCAACGGCGCGCCCAGTCCACGATGGAGATGAAGGTCTGGTCTGCCATCCTGCACAGCACGCTGAAGGGCGCCAGCTGGTCAGGGCGGCCCTTGGCTGGCTCCTGCAGGCAGCCCACGATGCGAGCCCGTACCTGGTCCTCCTCAGGCTCCAGCTGCAGCAGCTGCAGGACGAGCTCAGGCACACTCGGCCCGCTGGAGAAGGGCTCTGGGAAGCCATAGGGTGGCCCAGGCTGTGGGGGGCTGGCATAGGGCTCCGGGTACTCAGACTTGATGGCCCGGCTGGGGAAGGCAGGGTAGAGGTAACCAGCCAGGGGCCCATGGGTGCCAGGCATGGCCATGGGCAATGCTGGGGCTCCAAAGTCGCCTAGTGGCCCAGCGGGTGGACCCGATACCAGGCCCTTGGGCTCAGGCGCATGCAGGTTGGGGGGAAGCACGTAGTCCGGAGGAGGGGGAGGAGGCGGGGGCATCCCCATAGGGGGGCCTGTCTCAAGCTTGAAGCCGTTGGCGCGAATCTGTGCTTTCTTCTGCTGCTTCAGGGCCCGGTCACGCTTGTACATGGGCCCAAACTTGTTCCGGCCACCCCGCATGCGGTCAGCACGCACGGCTGTGGGCACGAGCAGAGGGTCGGGGTTATCTTCCACACTGCCCTGCTGCAGATCTTTCCGAACAGATCTGCGCCGCTCCCCTGCTCAGTATCCTCTCACAGCTCCCACTCCCCCAGAGCGAGGTCGCTCTCCTTAGCTTGGCATTCAAGGCCCTGCCTCACTTTCTAGGTTCTCCACAGTGAGACCTTGGTCCCTTTCCCTCTCTCTCTCTACTCACTCACTAGTCCTCCGCCTGGCCCTTCTTCCTCTTCCACCCTGCCTTTGATATTTCTTCTGTCACAAAACCATTTTTTTTCCTCTTGCGCCTCAGTGTTCCCATCTCCAGGAAGCGATCCTGGCCTCATGCAGGCAGAATTCACTGTCCTTGCCTCCAGTGTCCTGCTGAGTGAATCAAGCCCCCCACCCCCATGCAGTTTCTCCTCTAGGTGGCCCGCTGAGATCTCCTGGGGCTCAGCTCTGGCAGTGACAGGGCCTGGCAGGGACATGCTGGCAGGATAAGGGTCCTGGTCAGCTCTGTGCCTAGAGGGGGCCCAGGATCCAACTGGTTATCAGCTGACCCATTACAAAGCCGAGCCTGGGGCTGATCTCTGCTCTGTGTTGGGGAAGCAAACCTCTCTTGCTGACCACATATCCCTCTGCCTGGCCCAGAATGCCGCCAGGCAGACCCAACAGGTGCATTCTGCAGCTGGACCTCAGCCCCCTCCGGTGCTGAGAAAGGAAGGAGTAAGGAGAGAGCAGGAGAAAGGAGAGCTTCGACACAACGTCCTGCCACCACCAGCTTTTCTGGCTTTCAGAGTTGTGGGATCTGAGGTCAGGCCAGGGTGTCCCCTGTCCAGAGCCCCTGTTCTAGGTACACAGCCCTCAGAGACCCTTCTCCAGTGTTCAAAAACTTCAGCCAAAAAACAAAACAAAAAACAACACTTTAGCTAACAGCTGTAGGCTGGACAAACCGCCTGGCTGGACCTTTGGGGTGGAGGAGAGAGTGCCGAGGCCTCTCCTTTCTCTGGGCAACAGTGGGGATGGGAGATGGAGGTGGCCCGACCCTGCAGGTGATTGTTCTCTATTCAGGGCTTGGCTCAGAGCGGAGGAATCTCACCCACCAGTGGAGACTGAGCTGAGTGACCCTTCAGGGGGACAGACAGACAGATGAGTAGGCTGGAAAATGACGTGGATAAATAATAGAAAATATAATGGTAATAAAAATAGCTAAGCTGTGCAGTATTTACTATAGACCAGGCACCTTCAGTTTTTCTCGATTTCCCTCATTCCTCACAGAAACCCAGGAGGGAGGCAGGCAGGCACTACTATTCAGCCCGTTTTGATTTCAGGTGGGGAGCCTGTAGTTCACAGAGGTTACGGGACTTGCTCTTGTCCCAGAGCCTATATGTGGTAGCCCTGGGTCTTGGACCTGGTAAAGGGATTCAAGCTCTGGCTCTGGCTGGTGTGGGGTGTTGGCGGGGTGTGCCTGCTCCTGCTGGTGCCCCTTTGGGCAAATGAAATACTTCACCCAATTCTGGACAGCAGCAGGCATCCACTCCCAGGCGCCCTGGGCCCAGCCAGCACTTCTCCCACTGAGATGGGCCCTCCTTGGCTCCCACCATCACTGTGGGGCAGCTCGCCTAGTCCCAGAAACTTCGCCTGGGGGCCAGCGACACTCTCCCAGCCCCTCTCCCAGCTCCAGCCCCAGTCCTGCTCCCTCCGCTGGCCAGGAAGGTTGGAGGTTTCGGGGCGGGCTGCACACACCTTCCAGGCGCATCCCCACTGTCAGGCACTTCTGGAAGCGGCAGAAGGGACAGCGCTTGCGCTGCGTCTTGTCGATCTTGCAGCTCTGGCTCTCGGTGCACGTGTAGTGCTTGTTGTTCTGCACCGTGCGCTTGAAGAAGCCCTGCGGTAGGGAGGGGACGGTCAGCTTTGCCCGGGGCCCGCGTCCCGGCCCCGTGCCCGCACCTGCTCACCTTGCAGCTCTCACACGTGAGCAGCCCGTAGTGGTAGCCGGACACCTTGTCCCCACACACTGGGCACAGCTCGTCCAGGTCCTCGTCGTACGAATAGTCCATGCCCGCGGCGTCCGCCTGCGGAGGGAGGCGCGGTCACCGCCAGCCGCCGCCGAC